CGTTGCGAGGAAATTTCAGTCAAGAAAAGATCGGAATAAAATTACATATCCTTGAAATCTCCACAATCACTTAATACACGCATGTTTACCACAAGGAAATACTTGAATCCGCGTCCTTAAACTGGTGTTTATATTTTCATCGATTTTGTTCAACACACATACAAAGGAAAAGCTTTGAATTACTGATTTAGAAAGGTATCACTATCTACACACTTGAAATACTTTTCTAAATAATCAGAACCAAGTAGTTGCTCTGCATAAAGTCCTTAGAGAATAATACGGAGTAGATTTAGATTTATATATGCATTGTGTTTATAAACCCGGATTTTATTTTTTACGGATAACTTTATCTTATCATATTAAAATGGTATATGACTTGGAAAAAGGAAAAATGAATAAATATTGACCTTACGTAGGAGTCAAGTGGGAATGACACGTTGTATTCCCACACGATCCATCACACTCATCAAGCTTCCATTGTTACCACCTGAGTTGTAACCGACATCCCCTGCTTCAAATTAACAAATATTACACTTTTAAGGCCCCACTCATTAGATAGTTTTAACCTTACAGAATGGCCAGTACAGGATAAAAACTCTATGCGTAATGAAATCTAAGAAAAAGGTACTGTTTGACAATCTAGTACGTACAATGTGTGGAGCAAGCAATCCAGTTTCTCTCAGAGAAGACAGAGAAAAAAAGAATATTTATTATATTAAGTAAGTAAATGTTCTATTCGATTAATAATTACTTCTAATCTGTTGATGATAGAAGTTAGAGTATTTTGAATACATCAGGCTCATTTATAGTAAACAATTCCTTGATTCCTTAAAATGTTGTGAACAATATTTTCATTTCGTTTTTATCTCGCCACTACTGCTATCTGCCTCTCGAACAATTGAAATGAAGAACAAATAGTACATGGGCAAGGATGTTTAATTCGTACAGTGTGTGCCCATTATACAGGTAAGTGGGACACGATTCGCGTACATACGTTCTGCGGTTCCAACATTTTGTCAACATTCACCACATAATCAACCAGTTCGTAATAACTATAATTATGCATCATTGTAATAAAACTCTAAGCATTAAGAAGAATAACATTCCATTACTACAACTTCACACTAGTCCAATTTCGAAACACAGAAACCTTTAAAAGTGTAGAAACAATCAAATCTAACGTTATGTGTAGTAGATGTACTGCCGTTCAATTCATGTGTTAGTCCAGTCATTGAAGGTAAAATACGGCGTTACTCTATAATTCTCCCAAACAGCTCCTCCACTTCAAAGTTGACCCTGTGTCGGGGGTTGCTTTTTATTTTTTAGAGGTGAGAACTACCCCTATTCGAAAATAATTATAGAATTGTAGATTCGAGCATGTAATAGGTTGAAATAATCTTTAAATAAGTAATTATGATGAATCAAAAATTGTCAATCCCTAAAAACCACCCCCTATGATAGTAATCATTAAAAAATATTGTTGAAAAATTTTATTCAGCAACTTGGAATAATTTAATCATATAGTGATATTAAATTAAATAAGTTTCAACCCTTATAAAAAGCACCCCTTGCAAAAAAATCGAACAATTATAGTTACAATTTTTTTTAGCTCATAATATAATACAATCTTTTTTTTATTTAAAATGTAATGTATTTATTTTATCAAACCTTAAAAAAACCTGCCGATTAAAATTTGCAATTAAAAATAATGAAAATAATAATAATAAATATAGATTTCAATTTTTATAACAGAAATTTTTTTTATTGCAAATAACATATAAATAATCAAAAATCCTCTTCACTCTCGTCTTCCTTTTGTTTTCTATTCCTAAAATTCCTATTTCTATTCCTAAAATATAGCTATAATGTGTATTCATTAATGCTTTAATATACGTGTTCTGATATCTGCAAAAATATGTGATTGGTTTTTTACCCATAAATCGCTTAGTTTTTATGCTATAAAGCCCTTCAAAAAACCATTTTGTAGGTTTTTTCAAGGGCTATAAGATCAAATAAGTTAATTTTTCTTTCAGCCCTTATTTTTGTAAGGGTTTGAGCTGAAAGGGCTTGAACAAGTTGCTATTTGCGAACACATGCAAACTTTAAACGGCCATATCTACTCAATTTTTATCCTACAAAAAAAAATTCAAAAAGCAAAACCTACAAATTTATACTACATATTAATGATACTACAAAATTTTGCGTATCATTAATAGTTTTTGAGTTATTTTGAAGAAAAGACAAAATTGTTTCCAAAAATACAAAAATTCTATTTTCACTTCAAGCTCAATTTTTTTTAAAACTAAGCACATTAAACCGGTCAAACTTCTAGAGAATCTAGAGCATATTACAAGTACATAAATAAAGTAAATTAGTAACGATTATTTTCAATTGGGGTGGAAATTAGGGGGTGATTTTCACGTTTTTTGTAGCCGAAAAAAATACGGACCAACATTATTTTCGTCATAACTCGCTTAGGTTTGATGGTAGGGACTTTTATAAAAAATAAAAATAAAGGTTTTTTCAATTAAACATTTTTCACCTCCGAGAAGGGGTGGCATCCACCCCCTAGATAAAAGCAACCCCCGGTACGAGGGTAAGTAACCTAACCTAAATCCAAATTTTTATGAAAATCGGTGCTGTTTGGCAAAATTATACGGGAAAATGGTCATTGACTGGACTATGCACTCTGTTTCAGATATTGGTCCGAATAATAACAACAGACAACAAATAGTGTTATTAAGACAAACAAGGCTGTAATGGTTTCAAGTTTTTCACGAGCCGTAGGTACTGACATTTAAAGTATGTATATGTACGTTTCCTTATCGTTAACAAATCTTTTTCAACCTGTTCTTGTTGCTCTCGGGCTAGGCTGTGTGGAGGTCAACGCTCTATCAGAAATACTAGACTTCGCCCCCCTCCCCCACTGATGTTCATTTCAGTTCATGTTGTTCACTCCAGGACCCTACGGACGGAGTCACTTTTTAGAAAATGGACGTCCTTCGAGCACCACTATGAAACGTCTGAGAAGACCAACCATTATGTGAGCAGCGATTCCGTCCATAATGACCTTAGAGCGAATAATAAGAACCGAAATGATTATCAGGACAGGTCTTGGAGGTTGTGATAGCGGACACGCCCCCACAGAGCTTAGCCCGAATAGTGTAGAATATAAGTCTGTAGCTGGCGGTCACCAGGTACATAAGGCAAGGCATAGTAATCCTATAAACTATCAAAAAACAGTATTGCAATTAATTAGTACTCGGACAATGGTGTATTTTACTGAAAAATATATTTTTTCCACCATTTCCAAGCACTTATTAACGGTTTACTATGATACATTTTTTACAGCCAGCTTCTTCTATCAAGACCATTCTGCTATTAAAAATGAATCTTCAAGTTTTAAACATCCTGTATAAAGAGAAGTGCCGCTCTTTATAAATATTTTTTGTACCGCTCACAAATAATATTTTTTACAATAGAAACTAATTTTTCCTAAGTAGAGCAAAAGAGATTTGATAACTTATGTAACCTTTATGCATGACGTCACTTGCAATCATTCTTGTTATCTCTGTAACATAATTAATTTAAATAAAATAAAGTTAATACCACCCAGATATGACAAACAGTACAGCATGTATAAATAATAATCGTGTAAGATATCGGACGTCATTTATTTTATTTCCAGCTGTTTCATCAATAACATGACAAATGACCTTTAAGAAAAATAATGTGTTCAAATTTATGAATTCATCCTTATCAAGGTTACGTTTTTAAACATGAATTTATCCTGGTTCCCTTATTGCTATATTGGCTACATATTACTAAGTTGTTCCTAGGCACAAATAGGACTTGCTGAACAATACACCGCTCCCGCTTCCACCTAAGTCAGACTTGTGGGCTAATCCTTGCGATTAGTCCACAATGAGGCATAAATATAGCGTGATGGTGATTTACATATATTTTAATTCCGTTTTTACTTTATATCTTGTCTCACGTATTTATATTTATCAAATCAACTTGAAAAAATGTTCGAAATAAGAATTTACTCGAATAATAGCGTTTAATTTTTTCTAAATTAAGTTTATTTGATTTCATTCCAGTTACAATAAATATCCTGAGCTGCAATGCATTTTGAAAAATTACATTAATTGCTTAACACAAAAATTGCACTATATATATATTGTTATTATCCATTTTACTTTTATAAAGGAAAAAATGTATTACTAAATCGAATCTGGCGCGGCTCCAATATTGGGCAATAGAAAAACAGGCCAGTGAGTCATGATATTCTGAGAAATAAGATTTTTGTAAATCCTTATGATTCAACTTGAAGGGTGTACATAAATTTTTTTGAAATAGGCACTTCACTATATTAAATGTCGTACAAAAGACGCTTAATGCCAACAAAAACTTCTGACATGTAGATAAATAGCAAATTATAATATATATTTACTTATATTGAGGTTAAAAACTAACTTAAGTTGATTAAGTTAGCTTTATTGATCTTTGTCAGAAATTAATACACGAAAAATATTACGTTCTGTATAAAATAATGTTTAACCTTATATAGTTGGTACTTCTAGTTCAAAAATAGATAATGAAAAAATTACTCATAAGAAGGTATAATTTCACAAAAAAAAAAAACAAAAACAATCAGCAAACTTGTTTGTTTTGTTTGTTTGTTTTTCAGCTTTTAAAAACATATATACATTAATACTTTAAAATTAACAATCACTTTATATTATTCAGATTTTTCAGAAATAACTTCGAGTCCGAATGATTTAATATTTGACATTCTCGTCTAGAAATATTCATTCATTAAATTATAAGAGATTACTCTTATAACATATAAAACATAAAAAATATCTATATTTAATTTAAAATATTGTCAATTTAAGAGTGTAAATTTAAAACGACCTTTCAGAATTAACTGTATAATAACTCCTTAATTTTTCTACCAATGAAAAATTACATAGATATAAACATATTAGACTCACCGTACAAAAACAGCGTGACCAGAAGCACACCACACGTTATCGCACGCATTTCTAACGTCTATCAAAAAACCATCGTACCCCAATGTAACCGGAAAGTCCAAGGGAGAGAGACACGTGCTCGATTCTACAGAAGAAAACTCGTTGTCGCCTCCACCCCGTGAAAAGCGGACGCAAACTGATTTTCCCACATCGCCACCGGCCTAGCAGAACGCTTGAAGTTCGGCCCGCCGCCGGATTGGACGAGAAAATCTACAACGGCCAATGGGAGAGGAGCACAGCGCGCATTAATAACCACTTTTGTTGGATAAATATATTTAATGAGTAAAGTTACTTTGTTTGTTTTTGTTTGTCAAGTTAAATGAAAGCTAATTATCTACTCAAGTTCTTTAATTTTGTTTGACTTTCGTTCTTTGCCCAGGTTACCAGGTTTTTTTGCGAAAGTAGTTAGCAGACGGTCGTAGGTCGGTAAACGCTTTGTAAGGCCTTTTTCGACATTTATTGTTTTAAATAAATCAATAGTTAGGCTTAAATCTTATAATTTATACAAATATGTATTGTCAACTGTTGTGCACAAATAATTTTTATGCACCTGAATTTTAACTAAATTGTGCTCCATGCTCCATCCTGCATTGAATTATACCATCAATATCTAGCAAATAGCTAAGATCATTCGTCAGTAGAACCACAGGACATAGACCGGTTTCTCAACAGTATGCCAAAGGTGAAACGAATAATTTAGCTATTTTTAATGTCATACATAAATTTTCAATAATTGTCAAAGACTACTGACACAGAGTATTCCTTTGTACTGATGCGAACTAATAAATTCTGATTTTGCTGACGAATAATCCGGATTGTTTACTGTGATGGATGGAGTTATATTCCGCAGAGTAATTATTTACAACATTATTAGTTACAATAGCGATTTTGATTCTTTCACGGTATTATACCAATTATAACCAATTATAGACTTACATTGTACTTTCTTTGAACTGTGCTCGTTGTTCTCGGGCAAGGGTTTGAGGAGGCGGATCCACTATCAAAACCCCTAAGCCAGCTCTGATATTGATTTCGGTTTTTATTGTTGGTTCTAAGCCGGTACATCTGGGACCGCTCCGCAAATAATAATGGGACCCCTGAGACCGTAGAGGTCATCACTTGCTAATTCGTAGTTTCCAAAAAATTATGTCAAATTCCAACATGCTTATATTTTTGCGTACCAAGTGATAAAATCCATATTGACGCGACGTTCTTAAAAAAGTTTGATAGTATGTTTTCTGTTTCTTATTATTTATTATATCAAATCTTTTTAATGAGATCAAAAGGCATTTATAGTTATAAATTATAAAAATAATATGTTCCAATAATAATAATAAAGAAATACATTATTTCTTTCATCAAAGTACAGACATACAGGGCGTCCCAAGATTGTCTCCTGGAGCGAAAAAATGTGTTTATTTATTTTGTGAGAAATGTCATTCTATTAAAATTCTTGATTGTCCTCTAACTTTTAAAAATGCTGATTTGTTTATACAGAAGAGTGTTATTAAAGATATTATTAGGAAATCGAAGAAGTAAATGTGAAGTTTAAATAGATCTAAAAAATATAATAGCTCATATCATATCAGTTTGTTGACTTATACACACCCAGGATTGTCCTAACTACAAGTACTTATTATATTTTGAAACTGTTGTGGGTTTAAAACCTGTAGTATTCCCTAAATTGTAAAATAAAATAAAATAATGAATTTATTGTTGAGTTACTCTAAATTCCGAAATTCTACAACAAAATACCAGCATCTCAATAAATTGTAGTTTTCAATCAAAAGAGATGAGTACTGTGACGATACAGAATTATGCATACGAAATAATATAAACTCTTAACGAGGATATCTCTAGTTTTTAGACCAGCAGACCATCTAAAAATTTTAAAATCTCCTAAAGTCTCGATATGAATTCGCTTTATTTTTATTAATTACCGACTCTGATACTTATAATTTTCGAGAATCTTAATTGGTCCAACTTACCTATGTAACATGAGGTAAATACCTTTTTTACAAAACTATTGAAAGTTTATATTTACGACCTTGTTGGAATAACTAACAATATCTCTTAGTGACGATTTTCGACATTGAAGTACTTTGATTCTGGTCACTTTTAGATTTTCAAAAATTTGAACACTGTTTCTAAAATCAATAAAATGATAACATTTTTAAAAGTGTGAGGAAAAGCAGAAATTTTCGCAAACAATTACTTTTCTCTTAAAACAAATAAAAAAGTTTTTCTTCCTCAGGACAAAATCGTGGATATACTGTATATCTACGAGTAGAATAGTTCCTTCTTTCTTGTTTCTTTTTTTAATATGTACATACAATTAACGAAGAAATATTATTTTCCTACACATCTCAAAAATAAAAAAAATAGAAAAAAAAATTAAATAGTAGCGCCTAAGTCTCCATTATAATCAATAGGAGTAACTTTTTTTTAAATTTTAACAATTAAATGACTTGAAATAGAAACCAAAAGTTAATAAGGCAATTTTTTTAAATTTGCTTTACAAAGTATTTCTTCATTACAGGACATTAAATATACATATGTATATTATAATAATGACAAAACACGCTTTTAATTAAGTGTTCACGAAGAAAATGATAATTGGTTGAAATTTATATAATATGAATTGGAAAATTGAAAATTCATGGTCAATTACATCGTTCGAAACCTGAGTCATCAAATCTAAACTCTTTAGAAGCCAGGACACAGGCAAATAAACTGATAACTATTTCTTAGACTTCTCAGCTTTTTCCTTCGCCTGTTTCTCGACCTCTCTAAGATCTTCCTCATATTTATTAAAGGCAGCTCTGTCCTTGCCTAAGGGAGTCTTGTAGTACCACTTCAAGAACTTGCTAAACTCTTTATCACTGATGGGTTCTAAACCCTCTGAGACCAAAACCTCAAAGACTTCTTTAGGCCTCAAGGGGTTATACTTCAGCTGAATGATCCTCCTGGGAGTCATAATCCTTTGAATGACGTCTTTTATGACAGGAAGAGGATAGTTGACGGTAACTGTCGCCAAGCTGGTGACGTTTATTTCTCTGTCAATAGCATGGTAAGGCATCAAGAGTTCTCTCCAATAGACGTAAAGGCTTCCATAGTCTGGACGCGGTATCAAGATGTTCCTCTCGAAAGTCTTCTTCAGTTTCGCTGCCTGGGCCGCCCATGGCTTCCCTGTTATACCTTAAATATAAAGAGGAATGTTGTAGTACAAGAGACACTGCAAATATAGTGGATATTACAGTGATAGCCCAATAAATTGTCAGGACTGATCATTCTCATCGACTCAAACATAAATAAAGTTTTTTTTTCCTAAAACAGTTACTAAAGATTCACCAAACATTGAATGTTAAACACATGTTTTCATCAGTTGCTAGAGTCTTTAAGGCGTAGGTAATACACTGTAGAAGTTTGATCCGTGTCCACAGAAACTACTGTTTCTATGGACAGTTTAGTTTAAAGGTTTCCGGCAATTTTCAATGAATAGATAAGAAATAGGTTTCATATCAAATTTTAATTAATCGCAAATGGTTTAGGAAAAATAATATTTTAATAGTTGGGAAAGTTTATCACAATGTTGCTGTGACACTGAACCAATTCATAAGTAAATAGCTGTAACAGAAAAAAAAGGTACTTACCCAACACCAATACCCTATCTGCTGGAGCGATAGCTTTAATAATTCCTTTGAACAACTTTTTACCAATCCTCTTTGGGTCTAACTCTTTCTCCTCCTTAGGCACTTTTTTGTAAAATATTTTCTCCGCTGCTTCAAAGTAGATAATGGACGGAGCAAGTAGTCGAGACATTTTGCTTACTAGATGGATAAGCATTTTCATTCCCTTGACTCCTGGGTATTTACCGGCTGTAACTTCTGGGGATAGGTCGAATAATACACATTTAGTTTCGTTAAATATAGCGTTTGCTAGTAGATGTTTTCCGGTCTGTCGTGGTCCACAAATCAATACAGACCTCGGCCTCTTCATAACTTCCACTCCTAAAGGCATAATGCAATTCATTATAACTGCCTGCCGGACATCCAGCAGAGTGGCAGGTGGGTCAAATTTCATGGCTCTCACGTTCCAGTTCTTATAACTGAAATCGCCTTTATAGTCAGTCAGCTTTGCTTCAGGATACGTTCGTATTATTCCACAATCAAACAATTCTTGGAATAAGTCCTCTATGGTTCTATTGCCCGTCGGATCCTTTTTACCTTTTTTCTTTTTCTTGCCCTTCTTCTTTTTGCCTTTCTTCTTTTTGTACTTTTTGCCTTTCAGTCTTGCTTTGTCTTTTTCCAAAGCCTCCACTAGCAGATCCAGTTCAAGCACCATTAATTCATCCACAACTCTCCTTACTTCTAATTGCAACAAATAACATTCATTGTCAGTTATGAGGTCCATGTAATGTTTTTCTAAAGGATTCTCAAAATCGTTTCTTTGATCCCATATTTCCTTCAACTCCAATTGTCCCGCGTCATACAGAGGCTTGGCAAGGGTGTCGGTATATTCGTACTCAAAGTCAGATACTTTCTTCTTCTTTTTCATCTTCGCTTCTGCTTCTTTTTTCTTCTTTTCAAGTTCTTTTTTCTTCTTGGCTTCCGCCAGCTTCTTTTCCTTTTCCTTCTTCGCTGCTTCCTTTTCTTTTCCTTTATCTTTGGCTTTTTCTTTCTGTTTTTTCTCAAAGTCTCTTAAGTATTCTTCTGGAGTCATCGTTTCACCTCGTACCACTAAAATCGTCCCACCTTTCACTTCCGGTGGGTATTTGTCGAAGGCATTAGCTTTAATGTACCACTGATAGAACCATTCTCTAATTTCATCCCCTATATCTTCAGCCAGCCCAGGGCCTACAACTCTGAGGACCCGAGATTTTTCCTTATCTATAGCTTCGATGTACTCTCTAATGCGTTGGTCTCTGTACGCCCGTCTTTTATTTAAATTTCGCTCTAATATTTCGAATTCCTCTTTAGATCTCCAGCTTGGTTCAGTCATTCCTATAAGTAGTCTTCTATCAGCTTCTCGTCTTTGAAGCGATTGGCGAACTGCGTGTCCTCTCCAAACAGTCTGTATTTTCATTGCGACACTGTTCGCAATTTCTGGTTCTGGTGGTTTGGGGACTATTTTGGTTTCAGCTATCTTTTTTCTTTGTTTCAATATGGACAATCTCTCAGAAAAGTAGAGACGTGATTGTCGTCCCCTTTCTGCGTTCTGTATTGTTTTTACTGTTTCTGTTACCAGTAATTTTCTTTGTATTTCCGCCTGTTCTTCAGCACTTAGTTGTTTCTCTTCTGCGACGAATTGTTGCTTCGGTCTAGTTCCTTTCTTTTGCTTGCGTTCTTTCTTCTCCGATTTTTCTTGTGAAAGTTCTTCTTTTGGTTTATCTTCAGTTTTATCTTCAGCTGGTTGTCCATCTCCTTGTCCCTGTGCATTTTCATCTGGTGGTTTTTCCACTTCCACTATGGGTTCAGGCGGAATATAAATCTTTTCTCCTTTTTTAATCCTATCCCACATATCTTCAATAGTCAAAGGTCTGGGGTAGAATAAAGCTGGGTGTAGTATTTCTACATCGTAAGGTACTAATTTTAGTTCCACTAGAGTATCGTCGATGTAGTGATACTCAGAAAAGTCAACATTTCTAAGTTCAGTATTGAATTCACATAATCTGATCGTAGCCGCATCCATTAGTTTTCTCATTGTTATACGTTTCTGAGGATGGGCAATTTGATCCAAGCACGCGTCTAACTCTTGCACCAACATGGAATACTTCGCGTAGAAGCCGCCTAATAGTTTATTTGCCAATTTCCTGTCCTTGATCGGTTTCTTTTTTTGGCGCCATTGTTCGTCTCTTTGGTATAAATCTTCAAATTTATTCCTGGCTGTTATCCACCAATTCACGTAGTACTCGAAAGACATTTTGGTGTTACATCTACTATTCACATACAATTTTACTCTACATAATTTTAATTTGGAACAGGGTTTGGTCACACGTCATTAACTAATAGGTTATGAATTTATGTCATAATTGTCAAATATTGATAAACTAGACACAGTTTCCTGTCTTAATAGACTTAGCTCTACTAGTCACATTCTGTTTAAAAGAATGATTTCAAAGAATATATACTAAGCATAGAAATTGGAGTTACCTCTTCAATCAACTTACAATTAGTAATTATTATATTCTTTATAAATTTCTGACAGACTTAAATATTCATATGACGTGTTGATTCATGAATGGTTATGACTAATTTCTGAACTTTTGATTCCAGTCTTAAAAAACTACAGAATATCATTTGCAATAATTTTTGAGCTTAAATTACAGTCAAATTTTTAACTAATTACTAATTACTAATTTAACTATTACCATCACTTGGTCATACATAACTCAATAAGTTGTTGCGTCAGAATTAAAACATTATTACAATTCTAATTTTATTATGACAAATTAATTCTTAAAAATGCATATGAACAACCAAAATGACAACTGAATATTATTCTTTAAAAAATTTCAGTAAATGTTCAAAATCATTTTCGTTTTGGCAAAGATTGAAAATGAAGNCTAGTCACATTCTGTTTAAAAGAATGATTTCAAAAAATATATACTAAGCATAGAAATTGGAGTCACCTCTTCAATCAACTTACAATTAGCAATGTGACGTGTTGATTCATGAATGGTTATGACTAATTTCTGAACTTTTGGTTCCAGTCTTAAAAAACTAGAAACAGAATATCATTTGCAATAATTTTTGAGCTTAGATTACAGACAAATTGCTTTTTCTTGGCATTTGTCCTTCTCATATTATTTTGGAAAAGAAATTACATCCATTTCTTCTTATACAGGTGGTTTTTAAATCTAGATTGTAACTTGAAAACATTTTGAAAATCTTAATAAACCAAGGATCTATAACCGCAGGAGAGTGTTAAAAATTTAAAAAATAACATACAAGCTGTTACAAATTTGCTTCTCACTACAGGGATCTCGGAAACGGTAAGAGGTACGAAATAGCTTAAATGGGGGCAAAGTTGCGTAATCAAAGGACCAACTTCATGCCTCTAAAAAATCAAGGCTAACATGATTAGTTTTTGAAATATTTGAAAAAAAACGAAATTTTGGAAATCCGTTTTTGTTTCATTTCAGCCTTGTTTGAGGAAGAACATTTTTTTTTAAATACGACCTTAGAAATTTTATTAAATTTTTTTCAAGCCTTCTTGATCCCCAATACTGTACCGCCTCAGCCCGAACCAGATTCAGACGTTTTGTCTCGAAAAATTAATCTTCAGTGTATTCGTTCCAAATTTATNTTAGTAATTATTATATTCTTTATAAATTTCTGACAGACTTAAATATTCATATGACGTGTTGATTCATGAATGGTTATGACTAATTTCTGAACTTTTGATTCCAGTCTTAAAAAACTACAGAATATCATTTGCAATAATTTTTGAGCTTAAATTACAGTCAAATTTTTAACTAATTACTAATTACTAATTTAACTATTACCATCACTTGGTCATACATAACTCAATAAGTTGTTGCGTCAAAATTAAAACATTATTACAATTTTAATTTTATTATGACAAATTAATTCTTAAAAATGCATATGAACAACCAAAATGACAACTGAATATTATTCTTTAAAAAATTTCAGTAAATGTTCAAAATCATTTTCGTTTTAGCAAAGGTTGAAAATGAAGATCAGCATAATATTAACGGAATTTATTATATCATTATATCTGTAACCGCAACTGTGAAAGAGCATGTCAGTATGAATATCCTGAATAAAATAGTTGTTTGAATTTTGAGCACTCGAGAACCCTAGAAATAACTGAGCACGGGATTAAAACTCTAATAATGTTTTAAAGTAAAGTGTGATGGTAATAGTTAAATAACTAAGTGGATTTCACAGTGTTTAACGACACTTAGAGTGTACGATAATTCAATAAACATAGAAATCTAAAAAAAAATAGATCTATGTAAATGTAATGAGTACTAAAGGAGCGCTGATACTGAATTAAAAAGTTATTTGAATAAAATAATAAAATAAATGTTCAAATATCATTCAAAGAATTTCCCTTAGTGATGATTCTTCGACTTCTCAAAACAAATATTAATCATTTTAGTTTCTAATTATCTGTGCATTATAAAAATTTATATAAATTACTTACGATTTCCTGTCCCATATTTCCTTAAACCTTTGATGACTGATCATAAGACACCTCATGTAATCACGTGAATATCCTTTCCAAAAGCAATATTTTTGGTCATTATAGACTCGTGGTGGATTAACCATTTAAACGAAAATAACTCGTTCCATCAGCACCGCGAACAAGTTTCCGTCACAGTTATTGTCGATCCGCTAATAATAGCCGTATATTGAATAAACCCCATATCTGGTGACAGAGCAGCGGCGCGCGGACGTGCCCTAATGCTAATGCACTGATGGTATCGCGAGATTGCGAATGGAATGAACATCAATTTTAATTTGGCAAAACAATATATATCATAGATTGTTTGCATTTGTATAGGTATCGAAACGGGGGCTATCTCTATCTCCGGAAATTAACCGGCCTACCCGGTTTGGTTTGCGTTTTGATTAAGTACTTCGTGCTTGTTTGGTGGGCGTGCCCACCGACGGCAATATCTCATGATATCGTGCAGACGGGGTAGCCTTCTGTAGAGGGAGCGGTACGAGAGTGGAAATTAAAATTTTCTGATACAGCTCAGAAATTCAACAAATTTGGTAATGTAAAAAAAAATCTATGTCGAAAACAGTATGTACTGAATTTTCTATACAGGGTGTTCCACCCAGAAGTGCACATTCTTTAGGGAGACATTCTTCAGGTAAAAATAAGGAAAAAAATCTTTGGCCAGGGCATGCACCGTTTTAGATGTACAGGCCTTCAAATTTTTTGAGAAAAAAAAATCTTTTTTTTTAACATATCAAGAAGACAAATATCTTCTCAAACTTTGGAAGAGATATCTATTTTTTTACTTATAAAATCACACTAATAAGTCTGTTTTCAATTACCAGTGCCAATCCCTTTCATGAATCATAACTTCTACGTCTATGATTTTTCTTTAAATAATAATTACTCCTATAAAATGTGATTTTTTCGATTTTGGAATAAATTGTAATGATCTTGAAATAATTTTCAATTTATTTATAATGAAGATATAATTATAAGGAGATACAGATACAGATAATTCTGTTAACATTACGTATAACAGCTGAGTCAAGGTTTTCTATATTCCGCAAGTGCTTGAATAGAACCGAAATTGCATTGACAGTACAGTAAAAATATATTACACTTCTCAATATATGAGAATATCATTATTATTCAAAATTTTAGTTTTTTTAGTTATTAAAACATAGCGTGCTACATTTAGCGTAAGTTACTTTGTCTGTGCAAGAACAATGTTGAAATCTCAGTTTTCTCTAAATTAAAAAACCATTATTATAATAATATGAAAAGAAAATCTGTATTTTCCTTAAAAGAAGTACATTATATTTATTACATTTTTTGTAGTTGACACGTGTCTACAACAATTTCTACGTTAACATGAAAGTGTTTACATTTTTAATGCCAAAATTATATAAAATATTATAAATATAAAATATACAGGCAACATGTAGTATATCGCATGAAAGAGGAAAAAACAAGCAATTTTTTGTAGCCACAGCCTGCTTCGATGACAATTTTTTTTACCCGCGTAGAGGGCGCAGCAAATTTCATACGATATTTTAAAAATCTTTTTGCACTTGGTGAAATATATTAATTTTGCCATGAAATTTGATTAAAATAAGTGTTCTCTATCTCTTAAAATAAAAAAGTTAGACGACCCTAAACTTTCGGTATTTTTTCAGTTTTTTTATGATTACTCATAAAGTTGGCCATGGATCTCAAATTTGTTTTTACGAGTATAAAGGCCTCAAAAATGCAACAAAAAAACATATAAAGATTTTTGACTTGCGTCGTATATAAAGCGAGATTCATAGGAGTGGTCCTCTTATAGTAGACAACCTGTATATAACGTTTAATTAAAAAACAAAACAAAAAATTACTTCAAAAAATTTTATACTAAAAGGCACTCTACTCGTGAGGTATATACTTCTACAGGTTGTTGTAAATTTTATATAGGAGAGCAACAATTATTTCGAATTTTAAACTACATATTTAAGGTTTTTTTAGACAAGTATTATCTAGATGTATTTTTATAAGATGATTTTTTATATATTTTAAGTGATCTAAATATGATCGAATTTTTGTTATAGGCAGTTTTAATCAGTTTTGGTATCTAATAAACGTGATTTAACTTAACGTGTGTTATTTGGCAATGTTAGATTATGTTTATATGCTGTGCTATTCTTACTCAGATGCCTTAACCTATAAATTAAAATTGTATTGAAAAATACCCCCTTAAAACCCTTAAACAAAACAAATTCACTAATTCACCAACAAGTTCACTATTTATTTTGCAATCTATTGCACATCTATTTTTCTAAATATGTCTCTTTAACCAAGTATACGTAATTATTTAAAAAAAATCATAGGCATAGAAGTTAAACTTCACAAGAAGAGTTGAACTTCCCCCTTCTGCCTCACACGTATCTACGACACTGGAACTGAACTGCATTTATTATACATTTTTGGCAAGGAGCGATCTAGAGATACTATGAAAACATGCCTAGTATTGCAGTAAGCGAATTAAATTTAAATTAAATTAAATTTAATTTAATTTAATTTAATTTAAATTTTAAATTTAATTTATTCACTTACTGTAATACTAATTATGTTTTCATACTACCTACAGATCCCTCTCTGCCAGTAGGTTATAGATATTGAATAGCAATGGCAATTAAATAACACGTGTTTCTGAATTTTACAACCACAATTTTTAATAGAATATCTTGCTA